GATGCTCCAGATCAGCATCTGGGTACTTCTGCCGCAACTCTGACAGCAGTTGTATATACTCCATTCTGGCCTCATCGTAGGCATGCGCGCTCTTACTCATTTGCAAAAACTGTTTGCTTGTTTGTTTCGGGTCATCTGCGCCCATCTCAACGGAATCGTGCTCACCGGCCACAACGGTGCCACGTTGGTTCATCCGGTAGTTCTTATCCATGTACTTGTAGAGGAGCAGTCGTCGTTCAGCTATATATGCCCACAGTACGGTGGCCGGGAACATAAGCAGGGTGACCACGCCCTCCCACACCTCAATGATGCCCGGCGAGATGAGCGAAAGAATCGCCCACAGCCAGATGTAAGCAAAGATGGATAGTACGGCGGTCACAATGAACACCCGGAGATGCTTTATCCGCCGCTTCTCGCCCTTCGGTATTAACACCATGCAAAGAGCAATGATGACAAACAGATTGTATGCTGCGGAGCCAACAATTGTGCCCGGCCCCAGATCTCCGCTCTCAAAGTTTTTCGCATAGATCTCAATCACGGAGAGTAGAATTTCGGGTGCACTCGATCCAAGCGCCATGAGCGTTAAATTTGCGACAGTCTCATTCCAGATGCGTACACGCATTGTCTGCTTCTCACCCTTGGGTCCACGGACGACCACATCTCGTTCAATTGAGGTGATAGCCTCTATTGATGCCATAAAACGATCCGATATAATCGAGACGCCCACAAACAAATAGACCATTAACATAAAATAGACGAAGCCACGGATGGCACGGTCGCCAATTGAGATTTTACGCTGAGGCATCCACAGTGGCAGCACAAGACCTTCCGAACAGGTGCCCAGCTCCTCCACCTCAACATCGGTTTTTACTGTCGTTATCTCGTCTTTAGTCGGATCGACCTGACGGACGACACGTTTGAGGCTTTCAGCACTGCTGGTTTCATTCAGAGTCGAGTAGGATGCTGAGTCATCCACAGCTTGGCCAGTGGTTAGAGCAAACGTGTGTGCCTTCACATAGAGCAGGAGTAATAGGACAGCGAAGGTGGCAACTGATCTAACGGTTCTGCGTAATAGCTGCATTTTTTGTTTCTTTTTTAGGTTTTTAATCCTGTTTGGAAGTGCTTAGTGTGTATTGTCTTTCACTGTTACTGGAAGCGTCCTTTTCTGCTTTTTTTGTGCACTTAGTGAAAATGTGTTGCGGTTTATAATGATCGGATCGTCCTGCGAAACGGCATCATCGCAAACGCAGTTTTAAGAAGATGTGGCAGCTCTGGCGCACAACTTACGTTGCTCCTGTTGATTCCTGGAAACACAAAACAAATTTGTTCATTACTGAATGTGCTTGGAAAAATACCAGCTATATTTGCTGTCAACATCATCTGTTGCTAAATAATTATTTCCTTTGAATAAGCCGATTTGGCATTATTTAACTTTTCCAGATGGGCGAAAAAGTCATTGCCAGAGTTTTTCGCTTTGTATTTTTCTTTCCCGCCCCTTTCAGCTCTTTTGTATATTTACACGGAACAGAAACTAAACACAAAAAAAAAGAATTGCGATATAAACTGAGAGCAACTGAAACTAAACATAGAACATAAACAAAATGCAGTACAAAGGGTAAACATACAAAACGGGCAAAAAGGTAAGGTACGACCATAATATACCCTAAGAAGTCTATGCTTAAGCTTACGAAAGTTATTATCATTATCATTAGTCATTAGTCATTACTTATTACTCATTACTCATTACTCATTACTCATTACTCATTACTCATTAGTCATTAGTCATTAGTCATTAGTCATTAGTCATTACTCATTAGTCATTAGTCATTAGTCATTAGTCATTAGTCATTAGTCATTAGTCATTAGTCATTAGTCATTAGTCATTAGTCATTAGTCATTAGTCATTAGTCATTAGTCATTAGTCATTAGTCATTAGTCATTAGTCATTAGTCATTAGTCATTAGTCATTAGTCATTAGTCATTAGTCATTAGTCATTAGTCATTAGTCATTAGTCATTAGTCATTAGTCATTAGTCATTAGTCATTAGTCATTAGTCATTAGTCATTAGTCATTAGTCATTAGTCATTAGTCATTAGTCATTAGTCATTAGTCATTAGTCATTAGTCATTAGTCATTAGTCATTAGTCATTAGTCATTAGTCATTAGTCATTAGTCATTAGTCATTAGTCATTAGTCATTAGTCATTAGTCATTAGTCATTAGTCATTAGACATTAGTTATTAATCTAGTTGTAATTCGATAATTATTATTTTAGATATTTGTACATTATGATATTTAGTGGTTTCTCAAAAACGTAGCTCAAAATGCTTGGTACCTCTCCTCTTTCTAAAGACACACATCTATTAAATTTAACACATTTATTAAATGTTTTCCCTACTTACGAATAATATTTCTTTTGATATTTGTGTAATAACAACTATGTTTGCTATGGGTACGGGCACCAGAATAAACGCTGGACAAACTAACGCAACGGACCGGTAAATATGAATACGATATGAAATCGATAAAATGCATAATGTAGACAATGTCAATAGCTGTAGTTCAAAAAGAGAAAGCGAGAGAGAAAAATACCTGGGTGTATGGCTCTGTGTCTGTGTGTATGTTGAAGAAGATGGAACTGGGTAAAGCATAACGGTAAATGCATTACCAGCAACAAGCGCCAACTTGACTGACAAGCAAAACGGACAAAATCAGCAAAGCGAATGGCAAAATAGAACGGTTAAAATGCAAAGAGAGAGACTTGGTGAGAGGGACAACCCAACACAAGAGCGTCAAGGCGAGTGGGTGAGATAGTATGCTATATTAAGATATACGTACATATGTACATATGTAATTGTTCTAGACGGCTGACTTGCTACACGCTCCTACATATAATCTAAATTATAAATATAGAAATAAATAAAACTAAATAAATATACCTAAATAAATAAATCAAAAAGCAAAAATCTAAATACTGGGTAAAAGTAGACACGATGTACATACATATTTCCAACTAAAGCTGTATTTTTATTAAAATAATTTTTTTTTTTAAATTTTTAAATTTAGAATTATTCAATGTTTTCAATTTACTTATGCTTATCTAATAAAAAAAAATCAGAAATTAATTATGCAAAATATTCGCTTGCTTGACTCGCATCCAGAACTAATATGCAGCACATTTTTCGACGTAGGGGAAGGGGTCGCTTGCATTAATTTAGCAATTACAACGGTAAAATGTGCCAAGAGCTAGTCGTTAGGGAATGGCGAGAGCTGAATTTGTAAACAGTCAGACAGTTAGACAGACGCGCCAGGGAGAAAAGAGATGAATGTCAATACACAGACACACAGGCATACACAAGCGCACTAGCACGCACACACACACACAAACACACATAAACACTCGGGCATTGCTAGACAGCCCGCAGGCAAGTGCTTAGTTTCTCCACCCGTTTTTCATTTCAGCAGCAAATTGCATTTAACCGTTATTGAAAATTTTGTGCACGTCGATGCTTAAAAGAGATTGCGAAATTAATTGGAAAATCTCTCGAGCAGACACTCAAACCTATTATTATTCAGATAGTGCGTGCTATATGCGCGCACACAGCAGAGATTTGTCACTTTACATAATATTTATGACCACTGTGCATAGTGTGTGAAATATGTATTTAAATATAGCACAGCGTTACAAGGCTCAACGGGTTCCGTTTTGGGCTGCGATCGCCAGACAACAACTACACGTTACGTTGCCTGACGTTAGGTTAGCACTTACGTTGGGGCTTACGTTGTTTTATCGGCACGTTTACTATTGGGCTTGGCCTAACTGGAGCTGGGCAAACATTTCGCTTGCAACAGACGTTTAATATCGAATTCTTCCCGATTCGGATTTCACTATGATTGGAAATGGCTACACTCGAGGCACTGAATTCATCTGCTCTCCCACTCGCAATCACATTTACAATCGCGTTCGCGTTCACGTTCGGCAGCCAATGTACAACTAATTCGCCAAAAACCCGCCGCCTGTCGTCTGCGCTCAACAAGCGTTGTCCCAAGCGCTCATAATTATTTTGAATGCCCTACACTGATTTGCGCAGCTCGATGTGTTCATCATTGAAGAGCTCATTGGCAATAGCCATGAGGTATATGTATACACATATGTATGTGCTTCTGATATATAAATGAGTATACCTAAAGCTCAATTAAGCACTTCATTTCTATGTATTATATATTATTATATATATTATATAAAATTATTCATTTAATTGCATCTACTGCATTGCATTCCCGTGTTTGACAAGTGTAGGGCATTTGTCGATTCGTACGTTTTCGTTTTTTCCTATGCACCACAATTATTAACCTATGTCTTTGTCTGTCAAAATATTCGCCGTTATTTTAGCTGTGCATCGTTTCGCATAGTTTGCTGTGCTAACGCTCTCACGTTCTCACGCTCTCCCTCTCTGCGCTCTCTGCACTCTCTCACACTCTCATGCTCTCTTAATATTCCGCGTTTGTTATTGCCTTGTTTTTGTTTAGCATTAAATTTTGTTTATTATTGTCGCCTCTCTTTCCTTTTCTCTCCGTTTCTCACAGGCAAAGCAAATATTTCAAATCTGTTTTGTAGCACCTTTGGGTCAACTATATAACATGTAGTTCTGGCAAATTGCTATTTCAGTGTATTCGGCAGGCGTTCCGTATCTTAATCTCAAGCACTAAACATAGAACTCAACTAAACGTGGAGCTCTTCAGCAACCCATCTAATAGTTGGCTCAACTATTTATGTGTACCCTGTGCGTTCTAGCAGTGGATATGACAGGTTGCTAATGTTCCCAGAAAAATTCTGAAAATCTTAACATTTATCGATATATCTCAATAGATGTAGCAATGTAAATGAAAAGTTCAGCATATGTTTATTTTATTTATATACAGTATAGCTAGAAAAACTTAACTGATATTTTATATATTTTCGATATATATCGTCCATGCGATATATTGATAAATTTCAAATTGGACAGTTTAGTTGATATTGAATTTTCTTTTGTAACACAGAAATTTATATAAAATTAACTTGTTGAAACTCAACGCATGTGTTTTTGTATATTCATAGAAAATAGTGCGGAGACAACTGTATAAAGCAGGGTAGCGTCTAGTCGGTCACTTTAAGACATTCTCTTTCTCATAGTGCTTGCCACCCAGCTGTGAAGCATGCCCGCGTACGCAGCTACTTTTTTTTTGTTTTTTGTTTTTGCTCTTCTGCCTACCCTTCTGATATATTTTTAGACAAGTGCACACTAGACACACACTCACACAAACACACCCAAACACATTGACACACCGTAAATGATGTCTGCAGAAATATGTACGTATGTATGTATGTGTTTGTATATTTATGTATATGTTTTCTACTCACTTGACCTTTCGTCAGTTCTTTCTTGCTGTAGATTTCGGCACCTTTTGGATGGTTTGAGCTGCTATATATATGGAAGTATATATCTCGATATGAAACCGCTTGGCTGCCAATAACCGATTTCAGACTGAATGATTTATTGGCCTATAATGCGTTTCACATTCGAACAGGTAAAAGTTGACATTAATGTGAATTATTTGTGAATCGATTCACTTACAGCCGCCCCAACAACCTTAGCCCTCTGCGCCTGCTCCGGACTCTGGTAGCACCCACTCTCTCCCTCTCTCCCTCTCTCTCTCTTCCTCTATCTCTCCCCGTCTATGTGGTCTCTTGCTAAGTAAGTCCTTTCACACAGCATGCGCCATGGGCCCCGCCAGAGAAGTTTTTCAAGATGAAGAAGACGAAACTGGACACTAACGATTTATCTGATTACAAATGGAATTTACTCAAACTTTATCCTTAAGCTCAATTTATATGAAGTATATCTCAAAGGCGATACGCAACAAATCAATCTTTTAATATCGCGTTCTATTTGGCGATCCGAACCAAACTGGTAACTAATTTCGGCCTCTATATAATATATAGTTATAATTCTATATACATAAGTCTTTCTATATTAATTCTGGCGACTTGATAACTTGAAACGTTCTTAAATTTGATATCAATGCGACAGGGCAATTGATATAGTGAACGTTTCGTTATCACAAGAGCATTATACAATCGGACACTTTTGACTTACCACAGCACAAGCTAGAGTTGAGCGCGTGTCGTGACACGAGAGTCGTGCATGTCGTAAAATTTGTAGGTATTTCGTAAAGCTATCTTTAGCTGTTTGACAGTCATTATCTCTATTCTCCACTCCACTCTCATCTATGTATTTCTTATCATCTCTAGCACAATTGTGGGTATACGCTATAGCGTCATCTAATAATAACGTCATCAAGTTGTCGATATAAGACATGAATTTATTGTATTAGTTATCTATATATATGTTATATATAAGGAATTGCAGGTATATTTCAGATTAGATAGATCTGGTAAATTTTGCCTATACGTCAATGATAAGAAAATGTGGAGCAATTGATAAGATATTATTTCTAAATGCTTGGCTATAAGTGTAAGTTATTGTTAACGTGTACTATATAGATAATTTAAAATAATTAATATAGTGCCAGAATTTATATGACAAGAGTTTCAGTGTGTTAGCTGTTTTGAAAAAATAAAATAAAATAAAACAATTTGAAAGGGAAGTCTGGATGTTGATAACAGGTAAAAGGAGGCGTTGTAGGACTTGGAACATATACATATTCTTAATCAGGTTGACGATCTGAGTCGATGTCTCTAACATATTCTTTATGATCGGTAATAATCAATAACACAGAAAGCGTCCTCAATCAGAAAAAATATATATACCTCCTATCTCTCTATGATATTATTATAATACCTACAAAGCAATTTCTAACTTTTACGCTCCATCCTCTCTCAGTCCTCTGTGCCATGGTTGACCACCGCGTCGCACCTTAATTATTTACTAGCCAAGGACATGCTCATACTTTGTTAATTGAATCATTGGGGCACTCACTAACAGCTCAGGTCTGTCGCTCATGTGCGGTTATTTTGGGGGCTTGAGCAAATTTTGCATGTCCAATTAGACTAAATAATTGATTAATCGTCACGTTGGCAACGAGCACAAAGAAGAAGAAAAGTATAACGAAAATGCTGCTTAAATCATTTAAAGTCGTTCCAGAAATGGCAAAGCGCTTGAAATATTTATCATACGCCACGTTGACCGCAGTCAAAGCGAGCGTGCACAGACAGTTTGGCCTAATTGTGATGGAAGTCTTTGGGCTCAGAGCAGAAGCGAGTGTAAACATATATCAGACAGGCACTGTCAACTGGGCTTTATCGTAAATTACCTTAAATTCTTGACACAGCTGTCCAGCAACCCTCGCAGCAACAACATCATATCCTGGCCGAGCAATCCTTGTACTTACAGCAATTCCATTTTCACACTGCTTTTCATATTGCTCGCTATTCGTATTTAATACCCTGTAGCAAGATGCTCGAAGCGGGGGTAAACCCATTACAAATAAGCCATACTTAAGCCACTTGTAGCTGAGCGTGAAATCTTGAGCAAATGATTGGATTTTGCACATAATATAATTCCCGTTAAGAGGTTTAACTGATTTATTGATGGACCGATTGAATGGGAGATGGAGTCGGTAGTCGGTGGGTTAATTGATAGATTAAATATGAGAGTGTTACATGGTTGGCTGATTGAAGAGATACAGTTATAGCATTTCTATTTGAACTGTGATGGACTGATTGATTGATGTTTGATTTAACTAATAGACTGACTGATAATCAACAAAATAAACATTAAATAAAATAAAAATCAACTGCATTAACTTATCTGATTAATGATTTAATATCTAGGTATGATCCAACTGATTGATAAAGTGATTGATGATTCAAGCAACAAATATTTTTTTATTATTATTTTATTTGATTTGGTTGAGTTTCTCTGATTGATTAGTTGAAACTCAACCAAATCAAATAAAATAATAATACAAAAATATTATGTGCTCGAATCATTAATCACTTTATCAATCAGTTGAACTATACATATTTTAAAACTTTAGATATGTTTTGATTGACTAATCATATATGTATACATGTGCCTTTGGCTCATGATTGACTGATTGAAATCTAGCAATGCCCAAAACACAAATCGAAATATTGCCCCGTCTAATAAATTTATATTTCGTTATACCTACTAACTATACATATCCATGTATTAAAGCTGATTGATTGATTGATGGGTAAAAATGCCTTAAAGAACGCAAGAGTTATCAATAGTATCATTTTACAATATAGGTTAAGAGAACTTCTATATACATAGATATTTGAGTATGTAATATTGTGCTTTTACAGGGTAATTGGCCAGTCGATCAACTGCAGCTAGCATATTTCTGATTATTTTGCTGTTGTGGGCGCATTCAGACTCTATATCCTTGGCAACAGGAGGAGGCTGCGCGGCATCTCAGCTCTGGAGCATTTGGGGACAGCAGATGAAATGGTTAATGCGAGAGTAAATGGAGAATGAAAGAGGAAAGGAAGGAAGAGCAAGAGGGGAAAGAGGAGCGGCAGTAGATTCAGCTCTGGTAACAGTTGCTGCTGTCAGCGCATTTTCCTGTTGCCGTTGTCGTTGCTGTTGGCTTTTTTTATTTATTGACGACAGTTTGGGGCTTCATTGTTGTTGTTGCTGTTGTTGTTGTTGTAACTTTGATGACGGTCGTTATGAAAGTCGTCGATTCGGAATGCCGCTTTGTCGCCGCACCGATTCGTCCTTTTCCGTCTGAGCTAACCGACGCCATCTTAGATGGATAACATTACCGTTGACAGCTGAATGCGTGCACAGGATATATTCAACCAGGCGACCCCGACCCGTCCCCCACTCTTCATATCCCTGCCAATCACAGGAGCATACATATATATATTTTTTATGTATATGTTTTCACGCCTGTTTATTCTGCTGTTCGGAGCTAAACTGTTTATTATTTAACAATATCGCCGCTTGTGTACACGTGTGTAGGTGAGCGCTTATTTATTTATAACTGTACTTTGTTTTTAGACACACACTGACACACGCACGAACACACACAGCGACGTGCTAAGCGCTTGCAAATGGCAGCTACAAATTTTAATAGTTTGCTTCGCAGACAAAGCCTGACAAAGGGTTGTCTCAAGACAGCACACATACATGCACATGTGTGGGTGGGTGTGTGCATGTTCCTGGCATGTATTGTGTGCATAGCTATTGTAAATATATGCGACCCGTAGGGCGCTAACGCGGAAGCAGGTCTTAAAGCCGGCGCGCGGAAAAGTATGCTACACTTTATGAATACGCGCTATTGTGGGCGTGTGGCTGTGCGGCCGTGTGGGTGCTTCTGGGCGTGGTTGTCTGGTGTGAATTGTGTGATTGTCATTAACAATGGTTATCAGCAGCAACAACTGTTTTCCCTACTCATATACGTTTAGCTAAAACTTGACTAATTAAATAATATTTTTCTGGCTTCATTAGACCAAATTAAGAACACACACACATATCTACATACTATTACAGTTGACTTTGATTTGATTTGATTTGCGCTACATCATAGAAAATTCTATAAGTTCTTTATCTCTGTCTCTCTCTCCTCTCTCTTTCTGTCTTCCTCCAGTTCGTCTGCTATATTTCGTTATGATTTATTGACACAAGCAGCTGGCACGCGGAATCGCTGCGGCGCTCATAACTCACAGTTACCATTCGATCTCGACACAAATATTTGGCATTCTCGAGCGAAGTGCTTAACGACTAAATGCTCTCTAAACAGATATAAGAGAAACATGAAAAGTTTGAGTAGATCTTTAATCTAGTTCAGTTTCCCTGGAGATTTCATAGACTCTAGGGCTAAAGGTTTAAATAGAACTCATATTGGTCGTTGTAGCAAAATGGGGTTAAACCATGACCTATTTTTGTATTCATAGACAATCTTTTTAAAATCAGTTTTCATAAAATAAATAAAAATATACATACATATTTATTAAACTACTTTTTTCTCCTTAAGTTATGTGGTGCTATAGTATTAGTTTTATTAGTTTTCTCAGTTGCTTTTACTACTGCATAATTTTGAAAAATAATTTTCTGGAATATTATAATATACTTTGCCCAAGCACAAATCCAAATAATATTTCTTACCCCCAACACTGAAGTATATCCATAATCCATATAAATAATATTAATCAATCCTCTCCACTCTTAGCAGTCCCTCTAGATATAGGGTGTGCTCAATCAGTCCCTATTGATTACTTTCTCCATTATCCTAGTCTTTCCAAAAGTTCGCCAAGCATTTGACGTGCCAAACATTGTTAAGATAGTTTGCTGTTGGCTGTAAGCTGGCCCGAACCTGTCAAGGCATATTATAAACTATTTTTGGACTGGAAGGCAAACTATTCGCTAGCTTGTTCCATTTTTAGAGCCACAGCAGAAACTTTGCACGCTCAACTTTAAATGGAAAAACTGAGCACAGCTTACACCTGGCCACACCTCGCTGATAGCGATTCATGTGTGGCTGTGGCAGTGTGTGTGTGTGTGAGTGTGTGCTTGTGTGGGTGTCTTGAGCAGCCGTTTTCACTGCGATGATAAATGATGTTCAGCTGTTTTGCTCTTCTTGCGAAAAACAAGCAACTATTGTCCAACGGTCAATCAATCCATCAATCAATCAATTCCTACTGACGCTGCAATCAACTGAGCAAATATTTTGCTAAACGACTTGGTCAACAGC